TCACTTTGGATTTGTTTTCTGCCTCCTCATGATTGATTCAGGTGTGTTTATGCACTTTTGGCAGGATGATCACAGATGTGATGCTGGATCTTTTCACTGCATCCCATGATATGACACATGGTCTTGGTTTATCCTATCACTAGTGATGTCAACTTTGATCTCTTGAGTAGTATGGTATATACCAGTGTCCTCTGCTCTAGAGTTATTCTTTTTTTCCCCTGCAGTTAATGTTTTGTGGAAAGATATTCTGAGACCATGTAAATATGATATTCTTCATCTGACTTTCACCCACTACTTTTAGTATCTACTGATACTTTTTGCTTAAAATAATTTCACTATAAGTCTCAAATTATGCTTTTCTAATTCCATAATTCCTTCAACATTTATTAACTGGAATTATACTGTAGGGAGGAATATTCTTTTCCCATTATGTGTTCATTTACTTATTTTTTTTTAATTTTTATTGGAGTATAGTTGCTTTACAATGTTGTATTAGTTTCTGCTGTACAGCAAAGTGAATCAGTTATACACATATCCCTTCTTTTATAGATTTCCTTCCCATTTAAGTCACCACAGAGCATTGAGCAGAGTTCCCTGTGCTATACAGTAGGTTCTCATTAGTTTTCTGTTTTATAATATAGTAGTATATATATATGTCAATCCCAATTTCCCAATTCATCCCACCCCTGCTCCCCCCTCGGTATCCATAAGATTGTTCTCTACATCTGTGTCTCTGTTTCTGCTTTGCAAATAAGGTCATCTGTACCATTTCTCTAGATTCCATGTACAAGTGATATCACATGACATTTGTTTTTCTCTTTCTGACTTACTTTACTCTGTATGACAGTTTCTAGTTCTATCCACATCTCTGCAAATGGCACTATTTCGTTCCTTTTTATGGCTGAGTAACATTCCATTGTATATATGTACCACATTTTCTTTATCCATTCCTTTATTGATGGACATTTAGGTTGCTTCCATGACTTGGCTATTGTAAATAGTGCTGCAATAAACATTGGGGTGCATGTATCTTTTTGAATTGTGGTTTTCTCTGGGTATATGCCCAGGAGTGGTATTGCTGGGTCATATGGTAGTTCTATATTTAGTTTTTTAAGGAACCTCCATACTGTTCTCCATAGTGGTTGTACCGGTTTACATTCCCACCAACACTGCAGGAGGCTTCCCTTTTCTCCACACCCTCTCCAGCACTTATTGTTTGTAGATTTTTTGATGATGGCCATTCTGACCAGTGTGAGGTGATACTTTACTTACATGAGGATAAATTAATGGATGCCTATTTTAGTCAGTGGGATATAATCTGATATTATGATTTCTTTGACACTCAAATCATCCCATACTGGACCAGTTGCACCTCTTTGAGCTATCTTTTGTGTCCTTTGGACATGTCTCCAACGCTTTTTTTTTTTTTTTTGGCTGTGTTGGGTCTTTGTTGAGTGGCGAGCGGGGGCTACTCTTCATTGTGGTGCACGGGTTTCTCATTGTGGTGGCTTCTCTTGTTGCAGAGCATGGGCTCTAGGCACACAGGCTTCAGTAGTAGCAGCATGTGGGCTCTAGAGTGCGTGGGCTCCAGTAGTTGTGGCATGTAGGCTCAGTAGTTGTGGCTTGCAGGCTCTAGAGTGCAGGCTCAGTAGTTGTGGTGCACAGGCTTAGTTGCTCTGCGGCGTGTGGGATCTTCCCGGACCAGGGCTCAAACCCGTGTCCCTTACATTGGCAGGCGGATTCTTAACCACCACCAGGGAAGTCCCTCCATCGCTTTTTGATTACTTGCTTATCTCCTAGAATAATGAGATGTTCTAAACTTGCCTTATATTTTTCCTACTTCATCCCTGGAGTCAACCGCCTCTCCAAAGAACCCTGTTTCCTTTTATTGGAGAATGGTATCTAGAAACCAAGATCTGGGCCCTAGGCAGGCTCATCGTTATTGGGGTTTCACTATTCCCAAGCTTAGTCAGGGACAGAGCTAGGAAATATATGTATTTATGTATGTGTGCACATGTGTATGCATGTGCATATGTATGAAGATATAGATGTGCATACATACACAGAACTGTACATCAGTATTTATTTCTGCATCTAACTCTCCATATTAAGATCTCTAAGTTTAAACCAAAACTTCTGGTTCTAATCCTATACCACATGGCTCATTCCAGCTTTCTCTCTTTCTATATTCATACTCGCTTCTCTTAGTGAGAAATCTGGCTCTCATTACCCCATTATATTGACTTGTTTCCTCAATCTTCCTTGTTCCCTGCTTTTTCTTTCTTTATTGACGTATAATTGATTTACAATGTTGTATTAGTTTCTGGTGTACAGCAAATTGATTCATATATATATATATATCCACAAATATATATATGTATATATATACAAATACTGTATGATATCTAAAAATATATATGTGGAATCTAAAAAATAATACAAATGAATCTATATACAAAACAGAAACAGACTCACAGACATAGAAACAAACTTATGGTTACCAAAGGGGAAAGGGAGAGAGGGATAAATTAGGAGTTTGGGATTAACAGATACAAACTGCTACACATAAAATAGATAAGCAACAAGGATTTACTGTATAGTATAGGGAATTATATTCAATATCTTGTGATAACCTGTAATAGAATATAATCAGAAAAAAACTGAATCACTATGCTGTACACCTGAAACTAACACAATATAGTAAATCAACTATACTTCAATTTAAAAAATAGTAATTCAAAAAAAATAATAAGTGAAGAGAATCACACCAAGGGGAGAAAAAAAAAGAGTCCTGATTTGCAGCATTTGCTTCTTTCTGTGGTGTAAGTACTCCCACCATGGCCAATGTCAAGCTACCAACATGATGTCACTTAACTTGGTGGTAGGAAGAAATGTACACAATTAGCTCTCATGAGTATGTATGAACACTTCCAGCCTGGATGCCTACATACACCCATAAACTAGTTAGATCACCCACCAACTTAAGCATTGTCTTCGGACTGCCACTGACTTAAAAGAGATACAGGTTGGGGAACTCGATTAGACTCCATGCTTCCGAGTATCCATAGGCTTGACTTTAAGAGACATGACTGCCCTTTATCCATGACCAACAGGTTCTTGTTGGAAGCAAGTGGAATGGGAAGAGAGCAAGTGCAAGAAGATATAAAACAAGCAAATTGTTTCCAAGTCAAAACCAAACTTTATGGTAAAGCATCTGAGATCAGCCACCTCCTGTTTTCATGGTCCTGCTCTTTCTGGAGAGAAGTTTGAACTCCAAGGGAGCTCCAGCTGAGTTCCCATTAGCAGGATTTGTAGGTCTTGAGGTTAAAGGTGTCGAACAGTAGACGCAGCCTGAACTCTCTCTAAAACATAGAACACCTCTGACCCCCACTGGCTGCTAGGATGTGTTGCATCTCAGGGATGGCCAAGGCCCCTTCAGAGCACTGCCCGTTTCCTGACTGCACAGGAGTCCTCCTCAGGGGTTGCCTAATTCCATTTTTGCTGTATTGTCAGAATTTCCTACCTGATGCCATCTATTTCTCATTGATGTTCCTTAAATTTTTAAAACTCTTCATCTGTTTCTCCTCTGGAGTGGTAGATATTTCTGCTCTCATTATATTGCATATGGATTTCATTTTGTTTGATCAGAAAATGAACCAAGAGAAGGTTTAAGGTTGTTACCTGTGTGGTTGGTTTTGATTTCCCTTGTTCTGGTCCCTTGGGTGACAAACAGAAGGCCTTCCTCCTTTGTTTATAAGGAACCCTTCAGCTACCTATCCTGGGTTGGCACCTGGGCCCATGTTTTCTTGTTGTCTCTCTAACAGAGCAAAAGCACCAGCCACAGCAACAAAGTGGCAGAGGCCAAGCCCTAAATCTCTGTAGGAAGCCAGGGCGGTTAACAAAACCCCGGGCCAGCGGACCACAAAGCCCAGTCCATAATTAGGATGTTGCATCTATTGAGCACGCTCGAGTGTCCAATTCCGTCCATTCACTTTGGTATTTCTATGGTACCTCTCACCATGGTACCTTGGTAATCTGACTCATGAATTAGACTAGACTGAAGCAAGCTGGGGGAAAGGCAGAGTGCTTGTAGGTAAGCAGCACGCCGTCCAGTGGGTTTACACGAACAGATTGAGCAATCTCTGCTGATTTCTGATCTTGCACTGAAAACGAACTACAGCTGTACATTACAGGTATTCCTCAAAGGAGATTTTTTTTTCAGTACTCTGTATTAGATTAATTTTTATTTTTGGATTGAGACCTGAATCCAGTTGTTAATCCTTTTTGTGGAGGGAAACTTGTGTTGCTATTGCTAGCTCGGTCTTCTCTCCTCATTTTATACCATAACCCAAGTATGACTGCCCCAACCGAACAGGAACATTCTTGTCTCTATGTATTACCTTCAAAGACAAAATTCATGGTTTCTTATCCCAAAGAACTGTTTTCTGCTCTTGTTTCTCACAGCCAGCAGAGGGACCCCAGGGTAAGGCTCAGACCCAGTGTGAGATCAAGCTACTTTGTTGTGGTGAAAGATCCCCTAACTCTCTAGAGAAGTGACATTTCACCCTAGGGTTTCCCAGCACACATACAAAAGGCTTGAGAAATAGAGCTGAATCTCCTGAGACCACAGGTACAATCATCTTCATTTGGGGCTGAGAAGAGCTTTGCAACCATATCCACCCCTGGCAGGGAAAGAAAAAGCAGTTTAGTGCTTCTTTTGAGAATCCTGGAAACTAAAGGAGAAAAGCAGCAGAATCCTGGACCTGGGCCATTATTCATCACTGACATCACAAAACCCCAGAGCTGGGGTGTGGGGAAAGAAGATATTCCGCTCAATCTCATTATCCTCCCTTGGTAAAGTGTAAAAATATCCTATTCTTCATCAATATCATTTGGTCACTTGTCACACTTTTCTCCTTTTTCGCTTCTTTCCTATCCTACAGATAATGCCAAATTGTGTAGAAAATAATCTCTTTGTTTTAATTAAATGTATATTACAGTTATACAGACTGCTGTGTGGATTTTGAATGGCCAGTGTCTAATGATCAGAAAACTCTGTAGAGATTCTTGGCATGTGGCAATGGCATCTTCAACCAGTATCTACGTGGCTTTGGGAAAAGTTAACTTGAGGATCAGTTTTACTTCTTACTATAAGGTAAGACTGACTGAGCAATCACAAGTTGTGGTACACCTCTCTTGTTTAGGGAATGCACAGGGCAATGCCAGAGCCACAGAGAAACATAAAATATGGTCCCTGAATACAGGAAGCTGACTGTCTTCCTAGGAGGAGGAGGCATAATCCAAAAAGGCAGTAAAGAAATATCAAGTTATGTATTTAATGATAATAATGGTAATCATAATAGCTACTGTGTACTGAGTCCTTACTCTATTCCAGGTATCGTGTCGAACGCTTTATATACATTATCCCGTTAAATCCTCAAAACAGCTTTATGAAGTAGGACTATTATTATTCTTATTTTAAGGGTAAGGAAACTGAGGCACACAAAGTTTATGTAACTTGGAGGATTTGATTCCAGGATGTTTGACACCAAAGACCATGTCTTTAAATATTCAGTGACCTATACTGCCTCATAAGAGCTGTGGGAGTTCTAAGGGGGGAGATCAATGTGGGCTAGAGGAAGCCTTCTTGGAGGAGAGATCGTGAAGAATGAGTGTGGTTCGGGGGGAAAGAGAAGAAGGAGAGAGAGTGAGAGCACACACAGGCAGAGATGTGAACATGCACAAGACAAGCTGGGGTTCCCAGAGTCAACCTGCTGCAGATGCTCTGTGCATGGACATGAGTGGGTGGGAAATGGTGGTCAGAGGGGAAAGCAGACTGAAGCTAGGCTATGGGAGGACCTCCTGGAATAATACCTTTAGAAACTTGGATTGAGGAAGGTAGAATTGGAGCCAGGACAGACAATAAGTATCGATAGATCACTTCAGTGATTCTCCATGTTCAGTGATGAAGATAAGTACTTGAGCTGTGGGCAGGAAATGACAACCAGAGGTGAAATGTCCCCAGTGGGGTCTGCCTAAATTCTGGTTCCAGGCACTTTATATTCTAATCCCTATGAGAAAGTATCAACCACTAATATATTTTACAACTTTGCCCGGTCACCTAAAAGTAACACCTGTCTCTAACAGGTGCTTTACAAGTCCTTTTCGTATGCCTTTCATTCTCACAACAAGTGAGCTTAAGAATTATCATCGTCATCACCGTCATCATTATCATCAGTGCTGCCAACGAGGAAACTGAGACTCAGAAAGCAAGTGACTTACGGAGAGCCTCCCAAATAGGAAATGACCAAGTCAGAGCTCAAACCCAGATCATCTTACTTCAAATAATTCACAGATGTACTCTACAAATACCCAGCACGGTGCCTGGTGTTGGGCGCCCAAAGGTAAGTAACTCATACCCTCTGCTTTAGGAAGCTCATGGCGATTAGGTGAATAAAACAATAGAATTGAGAACAATAGCTGACAATATCTGTCCTAAGCATCTTAACATTTGTAACTGGGATGAATGTGTATGAAATATATGAGAGCACCTTTCAAAAGTAAAAAGGTGAATTCAAAGGCAGTTTATTTCATCCCTCACTTCATACATGACAGCAGCTGAAAAGGGTCAGCTGCTCTTCCTACGGAGTGGGACCAAAAAGTGATGAGTCTGATTTCTACAGTTTTCCAGGAAAATCATTCTCACCCCTCTATCGCTTCCTCACAAGTAAAGAAGGCAAGCGCTGAATGATACCAACCTGCCACCTGCTGGAGCAGACCAGAACTAACCCAACGTTCCAGGGCAGCTTGGTGACGGGTGTGGGCCAACAAACAACAGACAGCTCTTTCCTGCAGATCTTAGAGTGTGAATTGACACCTTGCAATGGCTCCCAGCCACTCCTTTTTTCAATAGACTAAGCTTGGTGAAAGAGAACACCAGGAAGCTTTCAGGAAAGGAAGTCATAAGAGATTTGCAAAGAGTGGAGTCAGACAGACCTAAGCACAAATCTAATTTCTCCACTTACTAGTTGTGTCACTTTGAACATTATTCAACCTCTCTAAACCTCATTTTCATTGTCTGTAAAATGAGATTACTGGCAATCAAATATATGTTGACTGAGAGAATGAATGAAGAGCATGCATGACTACATTTTTGTTGGCAGGATTAGAAAAAAATATATGTAAAGCACCTATTGTATAATATAGCACCTGAGACATTATCAATACTGTAGACCTTACACCAAGGAAGAGAGACTGTTCTACCCACTTGACTGTATACACTGTGATAGGACTTTGCCATCCATTAGTGTGTGTCTATGAGATACTCAGAGACTTTAAAAACAAGTCTTGGGGGAATTTTTGGAGAAATAATCTATGGATTATTCTCTTTAATCCTTATAACAACCCTATAAACCAGATGCTATTATTCCCACATGTTGCAGATAAAGAAAATGAGGTTCAGCAAATTTAAGTGTAATGGACACCAGTGGTTGTTTACCCAATAACCTCCTTCCTTGTTGGCAGAGTTTAAATTTAATTCAAATATCCATCCCTCCCCAGGTGGCTCTGGCTTGTACACAGATTCAAGAGGAACCCCATTCTCCTTGCTGGGGTTTGGCTTAGGTGGGAACAAGTGACCTAGTTATTTTCAATAATTCATGAGATGAGGTCTCCTGGGGGCTTCTAGGAAAGGATTACTAGCTAATAAAAAGAGATAAGCAGGAAGAAAATTTTCTTTTTCTTCCATTGGATGTTGTGTCTGGATGTGACTCAGGGAACCAAGAAAAGTAGCTAAAGATGATACTGATACATAAAGATGACAGAGTAGAAAGATGGAAAGAAGATAAAATGTTCATGATGTTATCAAGACAATTAACCCACTCTAAAGACATTGTAACTTGGACTTATTATTTAAGATAATAAGTTACTCTTCTTGTTTAAGCCTTTGAGACTTGGTTTCCATTTACTTGCAATCAAAAGGTTCTTAACAGATTCATTAAGTAACTTGGTGAAGGTCACAAGCCAGTAAATGGCAAATCTAGCTCTTAAATTCCACACCCTTAGTCCAAGTCCCCTTGCTAACAACAGGCCTGGGATCACAGGACTGAGAACTCTGAGTAGCATCAGGACCCTAGGTGCCTTGGGAGAGTCACTGAGTAGAAGGGGAGGAGACACAGAAAGCCGGATTGTATCATCCCTGGGATGACTCTTATAGCCACTCCTGTTCCCTATATCAATGCTCTTGCAGATCTGAGAAACCCACCACCTTAAGAATTTATCTACTCTTTTCCTTTCCACTTCACCCTCCCTACGTTGCCTGTACAAACTTTCTTGCCATTAAGAGTTAATTGTTTTAAGTAACTTTTTTTTTTTTTTTTTTGCGGTACGCGGGCCTCTCACTGTTGTGGCCTCTCGCGTTGCGGAGCACAGGCTCCGGACGCGCAGGCTCAGCGGCCATGGCTCTCGGGCCCAGCCGCTCCGCGGCATGTGGGATCTTCCCGGACCCGGGCACGAACCCGGGCACGAACCCGCGTCCCCTGCATCGGCAGGCGGACGCTCAACCACTGCGCCACCAGGGAAGCCCTGTTTTAAGTAACTTTTATCTCAAAGTTTTAGGTCAGTTATAGTTATATGTGCTTTTCCTTTTAACCCCCATTGAGCCCTGTGAATTTGCCCAACTAAAGTCATGACAAGTTATGTTTTAAAATAATTTTCAGCAGAAAGTGCTGGAGCCACATGTGGTTTCATGTTTTTCCCTTTGAAAATGAGTATGAAGAAGCATGAGTTTGATTCATTGTTATCAGGGTTAATCCTTTAAATTTAATTTTCATAATGTTTTCAAAGGTTAGAAAGTCATTTATGTACTGCCTGAGCTTCATCCTGAATGAATAATAATTTATCTTTTCTTCTTTCCCCTTACGTCCCACCCTAACCTCATATCTTAGATGAGTTGATGTATCTGAAAAAGGGACTTAGGGCAATTTTTGTTATATTTTTCCACAAAAATAGTCCTGCAATACACAGCCATGGTGGAATAGCTGGCATCATACCAACCCTGACTGAAGAAACAACTTTAAGTGTCAGATAAAATACATAAAACAATTGTCTGAAGGCATTGGAGACAACAAACACAGACAAGACTTGAAGGAAAGGCCATATTTATCTAAGATATTTCCCTGAAGACATTTATAAATGGGGGTATAGAAAACAGCAGTCTTACTGGGCTGAAGAGGCAGAAGTCAGAGTTTGGAGTAGTTTAGAGTTTGCTGCTAGAGAGCAAAGTCCTGGAAAAATGAGAACATCAGAGAAGGAACCTAAAATTCTGCATACACATTTCCCTAAAGTGATGGATTCCTAAGCTGAGCTTGCACAGGGTGAAACTAAAAGGCAGGGGGGGTGGGGGCGGGGACGGGAAGAGAAGAAAGCACCTGGATAGCTAAAGAGCTGATCCAAGATTTCAGTAGCACCAGGGAAGCAGAATTCATAATTAAAGGCTTGCTAAGGGGGAAGTATTTTGGTAAATATCCCAGGCTTTGAACTGAAACCTCAGAAGGGTCATGCCCTAAGAGTAAGAGCCATTCCTCAGGAATAAAAACCAATCTATAAAAATAGGGGAAAATTGAAATAAATTAGCCCAAAAAGGCATAAAACCAGGTTTTCACAAGACTTGTCTATTTGCCTGCAAGAAGAAAACAACCTTGGAAGAAAACAGCATCTCAAGTCTCTATAATTTTTTATTTATGACATCTGGCATTTAACCAGAATTTTCAGTGCATGCAAAAATATAATAAAAAGTTAAAAAACTGAATTACTGAAATCCAAATGAAAAATATATTTAATGGAGAAAGATTTATAGGCAAGTTAGATATTGACATGAACTGACAGGGAGTTTAAAATAACCATGATTAATATGTTCAAGAAAATGTAGGAAATGTTAGTCAAAATAGAAGAAAAGTTGAAGAATTTCAACAGAGAAATAACTCTATTTTTGAAAAAGCAGGCGTAACATAACATTGTAAATCAACTACACTCCAATAAAAAATTTTTTTTAAAAAAGAAGCAAGCAACTAGATAGTAAAATTTTGAAAGCACCAAAAGCATCAATTATGTCGAATAAATCAAATGAAAGATGACCAGAAATTCTACACTGAAATATACAGAAAATTGCTGAGGAAAGTAAAAGAAAACCTAAATAAATGAAAAAATATACCATGAACATGGAATTCAAAGATGTAAGATTTTTAAGATATCAGTTCTCTCCAATTCATCTATAAATTCAAAGCAATCCCAATAAAGATCTCAGCAGTTTTTTTTAATTGGTGGAAATTGACAAGCTATTTGTAAAATTCATATGGAAATACAAAGGACCTATTATAACTAAGGTAATCATGAAGAGGAAAAACAAACCAAATATCAAAGCTAGACTAATTTTAAAGTGTGGTCTTGGTACAAGAATAGACAATAGACCATGGAATAGAATAGAGCTTAGAAACAGATCCATACGTATATGATCAATCACTTGATTTACAACGAAGACATTACAGGAATTCAGCGGAAGAAGGATGGTCTTTTCAATAAATTGTGCCAGCTCAAATGGATATCCATATGGAAAAAAAAGGAAACTTGACCCTTTTTCACACCATACACAGAAATTAACTCAAGATGGATCATATACTTAAAAGTATAAAGTAAAACAATAAAGATTCTAGAAGAAAACACAGGAAATATTTTCAGGACTTTGGGGTAGGCCACAGTTTCTTAAACAGAACACAACAAAATTTCGATAAGTTGGATTTAATTGATAAATTAAGAAATTCCATTCAATGAACGACACCATTCAGAGAAAAGAAAAAGAAAACTTGAGACTGACTGGCGCGTGCGCGTGTGCACACCCACACACATATACATACACACACCTGGCAAAGCATTTATATCTAGAAAATACTCTTCTTCAGAAATTCTACACAATTTTTTAAATTGGGCAAGAATTCTGACCAGGTACTTCACAAAAGAGGATACCGAAATGGTCAGCATACAACTGAAAAGATTCTTGGCAACATTACTCACCAGGGAAATGCAAAGTAAACCACATCTTGATACCATATGTTGCGTGTAGTCCAGAAACATCAGTATTTCTCCTAGAGAAAGCAGTTGCAAAACCACAGCTCTGAATACCAGAAAGTGAGTTAGAGTAGGTGTCAATAATTATAAACAGCCTAGTTTAATTTGAAGAGTGAGGTTTCTGTTAAAGATTTTCATCATGCAGTGTAATGAATTTTAATTCCCCATTGTCATTATGTCAGTTACATTTGCCAGCCTAGTACAAAATGTGAAAAGCTATAACAGAAACCTCACTCTTGAAATTAAACATTACTGTTCACAATTACTGAAATATGTCCAAATT